CAGCCACTCATGGTAGCTCATGGCAGCCCACTGCAGCAGGGGCTGCAATCTATGTCGTCACCAGCGACTCACAGCAGCCCAGCTCCAGGTCAAGCTGTTGGTCACCATCTTAGCTGTAGAGGGCGCAGCGTCACTAGCCCTCATGTGGGATCTGAACCAGGGCCCTGCTGCTCAGAGCTGGTGTCCCAAGCCAACTCTTAACCAACGCACCACTCGGCTGGCCCCCAGAATTTTTTATACGTTCATTTTGCAGCAAACGAAGCAGAGGTTGCTGGATGAATTCTTCCTCATTAACCGCTGGATATTCTTGCCTTGTACTGGACACCTTTTCCTGTGGCATTCAGGGATGCGGCTGTTCGTCAACCTGTTTCTGTTTAAAATGGCACAAAGAGGGACAGCAAAATTACAGCCAGCTATATGTATGTGAATAGGCTTGACGTACAAGAGAATAATCGAGCTTCTGGGAAGTGTTGTGTCCCATGGAGGACATCATTTTACAGTTGAAACTCATTTTAGAAAATACATTATCTCCGCAGGTTAAGAAATCATAGCCTTGGCATAATACTTAGATCCTTCCAAGTGTTCTGGTGAGCTGTACAGATGTGCACCCTCTGGAAGAGTGTGTTGGTATTTTCTCTTCACTCTTATGAGGCCAGTGTGTATTGCTGGGAAAACCATACCAAAGCCTCCTCTTTCTACATGCTTGAAGAAAAATATTCCTTGGCTTTTATTTATTTATTTATTATTTTTTTAATTGGGGAATTGGGGAGGGGAATAGTGTTGGGAAATTGGGGAGGGGGACCAGCCAAGTTGTTGTTCTTCAATCTTCATTGTGGGGGGTGCCAGTCGCCATCTGGCTTCCCGTTGGCAGCTTGTGGCCTCTAAGCTCAAGGTGTGTGTTACAATCTTAGTTGCGGGTGGGCATAGGCACCATCCCATGCAGGAGTCAAACTGGCAGCCTTGTTGTTCAGAGCACACGCTGTATCCACTGAGCCATCCAGGTGGCAGCTCAGCTCAAGGTGCCGAGTTCAGTCTTAGTTGTGGGCAGGTGTAGCTCACCATGAACAGGCAATCTTGTTGTTACACCAGCTGAGCCATCCTGCCACCTGTTGGCAGCTCAGCGGCAGCTCAGCCCGGGCACAGCATCACTAACCTATGTGGGAATAGAACCAGCAGCCCTGTTGCTCAGAGCTCATGCTCTTAAGCCAACTCTTAACCAACTGAGCCACTCGACTTTTAGATCGCTAAGTGCATTCTCCATTTAGTATACAAAGCAGCCTTCCATATACTTCAAAGCTTGTGCTGCAACCCTGACCATAAGCTAAGAAGATTCACGCTCTGTGTAATCTTCTGCCCCCCTTACTTCTCTGCTCCGCTGGGGAGAGGCTACCTGCTGCATCTGTATGTAACACCATGCCTTGGTCTGCTCAGACAAGTTAAAAGTTTTCACAGAGGATTCTCTGTGCCATGAAATTCCCTTCTGGATATGAGTTTAGCCCAAATCCTTTCAACAACAGATCGAGAAGCGCTACCCACTAAAGCATTTCCTTATGGCTCAGTGGATGATTCAGATACACTGGCAGCTTGTACAAATTGGTGGCACCTGATCGTTTGTTATTGTGCTTTTTGACACCACATTCTTCAAAGAATCTTTCTTCTCTTGAGGTTAAATCAGCAGAAATGATGAATAAGCTGCTGCTTCCACCACTTTAAACACATTATTGATCTCTGTCCCCTTCCTTCTCAATAGAGAACACTCTCAGATATGGCTAATGAATAGACACTCCAACTTGTTGTTGGGCCACATGAACATGTTCTGGCTAAACAGTGCGACACCTACAGTGTTAGCTTGTTTCAGAACTGCCAGCGCCTAGCTTCCTGGAGTACCTCCATGCAAGCTGTTTTCATTGCGTACCTATTCACAATTTTGTGGTTGTATATTATTGACCATCTAATTTATTCTTGACCTTGCATAGTTTTTATATCAACCTTTTCCTATGATGGTAAGCACTCTTCAGATTGCCTTAAGTAATGTAAAGTCTGGGCTTCGAAGACTACTTACTTCTCACAAGGATCCTGATGAACTCTCTTTAACCGACGTCATTAAATGAGTCTCTGTTATATGGCCTCGTGGAACAAAATACAAACTGGCCGGTCAAAGAAGACAGCAGCACCATTTTGATAAAAAGGTTTAACAAAGTAATTTAAGTGCCTGTCTTGAATGATGCAGGTTTAGCATAGGCACATCATTCAACCACTCCAGAAAAAAAAAGGAAGAAGCAGCAGTAATAATTTACTTGCAACTGCAAAGGGAAAAGATGGCTCTCAGAGCAATTTTTCAACACCCGGCATTCTCTTGGAACATCCTGTTGGTTCATCCACTACGAATGTAATGATATTATCGAGTGCATGAAAACCATATGAAGATATAAATTTCTGAAGCAGCAGCAGTTATTCTAAGATTGCCCAAAGATGACAATTTAACTGTGCAGCTTCAGAGGTACATTTATTTATAGATTATTCTGGAAACATTACTTTTCATTTAGATCAAATGACTAGTTGCTCATTTCTTATTCCAAGTTTCCATGGACATGTGTGAAAAGTGAAGCAATAGCTGTTAACGGGTTGGCTCTTTTAACAAAAAAAGAACTTCACAAGCAGTTGAGGATGCCATGTGTTTTATCCATGTCATCAGATACTGCAAATAGAAAATCAGTTCAGTTAATCCCGATAATGGTTTGTTTCTTTTTTTTCTTCCCCACCCGCTTCATGGAATCAAAAGAAAGCTCTTAGGAGTTCATTCGGCATACTTGAGACTCAAGCATTCAGTGGAGACCTCAAAGGCAGCCATGCTCTTTCCATTGTTAAGCTTTGTAGTTGCAGACTGCATTGGTCCTAGCACTAGTCACAGCTCAGCTGGGCCAGTTTATAGAGTGTGGTGTGACAGGTCTAAGCGAGCCATCTCAGTTAGCATCCAAATGGAACAGTGATTATTAATATTTGGGGGCCACAGACTCCTTTAGAAGCTCATGAAATTCAATTTATAAACCCGCTCAGAAGAATTTTGCAAACTATTTGGAGATTATAAAGGTCACAGATTATGGACTCCACACAATACTGCAAGAATGAGAATATGAAATAAAATGAATAATAGAAATTAAGAACAAAATTAAGCAGAAAAAAATCATAGAGAGCTAGACACTAAATTAGAAAATATAAGTGTAAACGGGAAATTATAACTCTCCTTTCCAAATGAGATGCATTCACCCCCAGAATCATTTAGATAGAGAACCTGACTTAGATGCACTCTAATGTGAAGAATCGTAAAAGATTTGGTGAATAGAAAGGCTACTAAACTATAAGTCAGAGAGTAAATTTCCAATTCTAGCTCTAATCTCAGTTCTGGTACGAACCACCTGTATGATTTTGGGCGCGGAGCCTAATCCTTTAGGGATCTTTCCTATTATTAAAATGAGCAGTTGTGTAAGAGGTGTTACAAAACACCTCTGGTTCTCAAATTCTGTGGTGTGTAAACAGAATAAAACATAAAAAATGTTTAATTTCCCCTTTTTTGGTTATAAATGCATTCAATACAGCACTTCAATACATCAGAGTTTGTTATACAGGCAACCCCTGAGATACACTTGTGAAGGCCCCACAACACAAGTGATTGCTACCTTATTTAACTTCTCTGGGCCTCAGCTGCCTCAAATGTAAAGGAAAAAATAATAGCACCAACCTCATTAAATAATTTCATACATAAACCAGCGTGTAGAACAGTGCCTGGCACATTGTAAGTGCTATGTAGGTGTTCACTAACGTTACCATAATCCAGACTGGTGGAACAACCACTCCGTCATGACTGTCCTCATCCCGCTGTCTCCCCGAGAAATACTCCCAGGGCCCCCGTATTACAGCACAGCCACCATTAGAGCTCTTGCAGTTGCCACCAAAACCCCTTCCACAAACAACCCCGACAGAGTCCCGTCTTCCCTGACACCGGAAGTGCTGTTTGAGCCATCTCTGCAACTGAGGTTGTACCGGCACAAAACACCCCATCCCCTTTCCTTCCCATCCCCCACTCATAACTGTCTCCTAAGACACTAAAACCTCAGGTTCTGCTGGAAACCACGGAATAAGGAGATGGCGCTACCTCACACAGGGTCCAGGGAAAGTGAAGTGAAGGGGAGGCAACATTGGGGGAGCAACCTGTGCTTGCATTTTTGCTGAAACTATGGTGAAGGAAGCAAATATGATGATTTTAGCCACGTACCATGATAGAGACCTGATTATTCCTTGCAGCCTGAGTTTTATCTTAGAATTCAGTCTCCACCAAGAAAATCATTTTTTATCATAAAATATAAAATTTTTGTTGGCTAACTCAGAAAGCCTACCATTATAGCATGAAAGTGACTTACAAATGGAAAACACATCCTTTATTGGCATGGTTTTCTTCAAACTGATACTTTAATAGACATAACAGCCTATTTTAACTAATATTATTATTCCACCCTATTAAATATATGAAAATATTCAAACCAGCAATAGGTCTGACTTAAGGAGTAAATATGTGTCTAAATTTATTTCTGGCAAAATATAGCTTGCAGCTTCAAAAAATAAATGTATCCAAACTCTTTACCCTGGCTTCCTTCACTATGAAATACATATGAAGTGTAACTTACATATAGCCAGGAAAATTACATTATACTAACTCAAGAAAAAAACTGTTTTAATGTTAAGAGATAATGATTGCTCTCCTAACTCTTAAGACTGGAACGTAATATATTACCAACTTTGAGAGTTTTTGTCCATATTTTTATATTTTAAAAAATCCCTTAAAATATGAAATCATACACTTGTTCCATTATACTCATTTAACTTTTTTATTAACATTAAAGTCAGTTTAAATAAAATTAAAACAAATCCCTGAACATTAAATGTAAAAGAAGGATAAGGCATTACATGAGGTTATTCGCTTATTTTTAAAAGTTGATACTTACTATTAGAAGACAGGATTCCAAATATCATAGTAGCATTTCTTTTTACAATTTTGTCTTCATGGGTGAGCAGCTTAGTTAATGGTTCCACAGCTCCCAGTTCAAGGAGGGTTGCTTTATTTTCCTCACCTGTCATCACAGATGAAATAAAATCATGCATGGATACCATCAATTTCACTTCAACTCTTGTTTGTGTCATTCCAGTTTCTTATTTGCCATCTGCCTTTCACATTCCTCTTTGCTTCCACACCTATTTCTCTCAGAATAAACGTCAGAGCACAGGTATCCTGGACGTTTGCTGCTCCCACCCACAACCCCTGTTTACAAAGCTGGCTTCCCCTTGTCATTCACTTCTCAGCCTGTACTTCCTGAGGGTTCTCCTGACCACTCTGTCTAATGTTATCATCACCTTTAAGTCCTCCTTATCTCTCTTTATCCTGCTTTATTTTTTTCACACCTCTTACCCACCTCCAAGCATTGTTTGCCTACTCTGTTGTAACTTAACTTGCCATGAGGACAGATAACCTTTTTGTTCTATTCTCTCATATCCTCAGTGCCTAGCACAGTGCCAGTCATGTGATGACATAATTGACATAATTAATTATAAAATTAATTAACATGCATAGGAGTGTACTATTTACTTTCTAACTATCTAATGCTAATTAGAGTTCAGAGTAGAGGTCCAGAGTTCTTTGTGATTAATTTTTAATTGACTTCTATTGTGGTATGACATATATTTTGTGTAACTGGAATTCTTCTAAATTTATTAAGGCTTGTTTTATGGCCCAAAATATGGTCTATTTTGAAAAATGTTGTCTATGCACTTGAAAAGAATGTATGTTTTGCTGTTTTTGGAGTTTTCTATAAATATCAATTAGGTTAAATTAATTTATATTGCTGTTCAAATCTTTTTGACCCTTACAGATTTATTATTTACTTGTTCTTTCATTTATTGAGGGGGAGGATATCAAAATCCCAACTATCGATATAATCGTGGATATCTTTTTTTCCTCGCATTTTTAGCTTCATGCATTTTGAAGGTCTGACATTTAGTATATAACTATTTAGGATTTTTCATAGCCTCTTGATTCGTTGATCCCTTTATCATTATAAAATGACTTTATCTCTGGTACTATTCTTTTCTCAATTTTTCTGATATTAATACAACCATTCCATCTTTCTTTCGATTAGTGCTATCATAGGATATTTTTTTCATCTTTCTACTTTCAAGTACTTTGTGTCATTCTATTCTAAGTGTATTGCTTGATGGCGGCATGTAGTTTGGTCTGGCTTTTTATCTAATATAACACTCTATCCCTACTAATTGAGATACTTAGACCATTTACAACTTAATTTGATTATTGATATGATTAGGTTTAAATCTACCATCTTGTCATTTGTTTTTATATGTCCCATTATTCTTTGTTTTCTTTTTCTTTATTTTTGCCTTCTTTTGTATAAACTGAATATTTTTCCTTTGTTGGATTATTTGATATTCTTCATTTTGTTATTTTACTGGTTGTATTAGTCTATAGTATGCATCCTTAACTAATCACAGCCTACTTTCAAGTGGTAGTATACCACTTCACTTATAGTATAAGAAAGAACGTTATAATAGTATGTTTCCATTTCCCCTTTTCTATCTTAGTGCTGTTGTTATCATATATCTTACTTATGCATATGCTTTCAACTGCAAATATATGAATATTATATTTGTTTGAAAATAACCAATTTGCTTTTTAAGTGATTTAAATAAGAAAAAACCCTTATATGTTACCATTTCTAGTATTCTATCTTTATTCTTTTATGTAGATCCATATTTCCATCTGGCATAAATTTTCTTTTGCCTGAACTACCTTCTGTACCATAATTAGCAATGTGGGTCTGCTTGCAATGAACTGCTTCAGTTTTTGAATGTCTGAAAAAGACATATTTCTGAAAAATATTTTTGCTAAGTTTCTATTTCTCCAGGTTGAAAGTTTTTATTTCTCTTTCAGTGCTTTGAAGACATTACTGAATTCTTGCCTGCATCATTTGTGATGATAAATCTGTTGTCATTCTTTTGTTTTTTGTTTCAGGTATACAAAAGAATGTAATAGTTAGACATTTATACCCTTCACAAAGTGATAATCCCTCTCCACCAATCTACTCATTGTTCTTCTCAAAGTAACATTTTTTTTTCCTGGCTATTTTTAAGATTTTCTCTTTATCACTGGTTTCAGGCAATTTGATTATGATGTTCCTAGGTGTAGTTATTTTCATATTCATTGTGCTTGGGTTTTAATGAGTTTCTTGGATCTGTGGCTTGGAGATTTCATCAAGCTGGGGGAATTTTTGGCCATGATTTCTTCAAATACTTTTTTTGTCCTTCTCTCCCTTTTTCAGGGACTTCAGTCACACATATATTGGGGGTCACTTTTGCTTTACTTACTGATTTATATCCTCATTACAGGTTGTATTTTCTGCTTCTTTTCATGCCTGGTAATTTTTTTTATTGGATGTCAGGCATTGTGAATTTTACCTACTTGGGCAATGGATATTTCTGTAGTCTAGAAATTTGTTCTGGGACACAATTAAATTATCTGGAAATGGTTTGATCCTTTCAGATCTTGCTTTTAGTATTTGTTAGGTAGTACCAGAACAGTGCTCAATCTAGGGCCAATTACTTCTAAATACTGAAGCAAGACCCCTCCCTCTGTGAACTCTGCACACTGGTCCATGAATCTTGAAGTTTTTCAATCTGGCTGATGAGAACAAGCACTACTTCTGTCCCTGTGTGAGCATCAATCAGACACTGTTGCTATTAATCCTATTTGGTGCTTTGTCTGACTTCAAATAGTTCTCTTATATGTACATGTTGATTTATATTCAGCCAAATACTTGAGTGGGACCCTACACAGATCTCCTGAGTTCTCTCTCAATGCAATTCTTTCCTCTCTTTTAGTTTGTCCTGAAAACTCTTGCTGTCTTTGTCTCCCTGGACTCTCAGGTTTGTCTTCTCAACTCAGAGAGTCTACCAGGCTCTCCACAGGATACCCCTTCTTATGTTGTGGCCTGGAAACTCTCTGAAATCAATTATCTGGGGCAGTCATAGGATTTATTTCCTTTGTTTCCTGCCTCTAAATCCTCACTGTCCTTCACTGCCTAATAGTCAGTGTTTAGCCAATTGCTACTTTATGTATTTTGTCTATTTTATTGGTTGTTTTAGTCAGGGGTGTAAATCGGGCCCCTTACTCTATCTTGGCCAGAAGGCAAAGTCCCATCAGTTAGCTTAAAAAATGATTTCAGAAAATACTGCTGGTATAAAACACCAGACTTACAATAATTTCTGTATTGATTTCACATAAAATACATGCCTACCTATTTATTTACCTCATGTTGTATTAAAATATGATATGTATTAGGTACACATGACAGACAGATAACATTTGATGACTCTATAAGGCTGAATGAGACTTAGGCTACCACAGATGAATGACCCAATGTCTCCTTGAAAATAGATCTAGAATTCTACATAATCTAATGAACCATACCTTTTAGAGCCACTCTGGCTTTTATCTGGATTCCCAATGACGACTAGAGTGACATAGCAAGGTGAGTATTTTACTATTTGCTAATTGAGTGATTTGTTGTTCTCTCATGCAAGTCCCAAAGCCATGTTTGAAGAATAATTTATTTAAAATCAAATTACTCCTTAGTTTAAAAGGCTTTGTTATAAATACCAAGTTACACTAAACTCTTCAAATAGTCCCAATTAAAATGTTATACAGTATAATAAAAACCGAATTTTATCACCGTTTGGAATGAACTAAAACATAACCATCTTTTATGTTTGTACATCCTCTATGAATAAATCTTTCAATAAAATCTAATTTGTAACATTTACAATGCTGTATTAAGCTTTATTTTTTACAACACTTTTACTTTCACAGAAAATTTGCAAAGATAGTACAGGGAGTTCCCACATATCCCACACCAAGTTTCCCGTTATTCATTTTTTATATTAGTAGGTACATTTGTTGCAACTAATGAGCCGATACCAATACATTATTATTAATTAAAATCAATAGTTTACTCAGATTTTATTCAATAGTTTATTCAGTTTTAGTCTATGTTCCTTTTCAGTTCCAGCATCCTACCCAAGACGCGCCATGACATTTAGCCAGCATGCATCCTTAGCTCCTCTTGGCTGTGAGAGTTGCCCACGCTTTCCTTTTTGTGATGGTGACAGTGTTGAGTACTGGCTGGGTATTTGTAGAATGTCCCTGAATTGGAATTTGATTTTTTTAAAAATCATAATTAGACTGGGGTTATGGGTTTTGGGGGAAAATAACATAGAAGTAAAGTGCCATTTTCATTATATCACATCAAGGACACATATTATCAACATGACTTATCACTGTTGATATTGATTTTGATCACCCAGCTGCAGTAGTTCTGTCTGGTTGGTTTCTCCACTGTAAACATTCTTTCCCCCTGTTTCCATATTGTACTCTTTGGAAAGAAGTCACTACACACAGCCCACACACCCAAAGAAATTACATTCCGCCTCCTGGAGGGCAGAGTATCTCCATAAGTTATCTGGAATTTTTCGGCATGGGAGATTTGTCCTTTCCCTCCCATTTATTTACTTACTCAATCATTTTTTTTTCTGTATAGACTCAGGGATATTTATTTTCTACTTTGGGTTATAATCCAATAGTACTTTATTTATTTTGTTGCTCAGGTTGTTCCAGCTTTGACCACTGGGAGCTCTTTCAGTTCCTGTGACATTTACAATTTTTTAAACTACAATAAAACCTTCAAAATGTCTCTTCTACCCAATGATGAAAATACTCTTTAATATTAAGTTAGGCATTTAGGGAGATATATTACTTTCAGGTAATGCATTAAATGATATTCTGGTTGTCTGAAAGAATTCATGTGACGGGAAGTAAGTTAAAGACTAGGGAGAAAAGTGTCCCTTATGTAGTAAATATTTTAGGTAACTAATGAAATAGAAAGGTAAACTGAAAAAATCCAAACCTTTTAAAGCAAATCTATAAATGGCTTCACATGCTTTGGCTAAAATTTCTTCTTCTGGAGAATTAAGCATTAACACCACAGTTGCTGCTTTTTTGCTTTCAATTGTTAATGGATCAAACTGAAATGTGGAGAGAAAAATATCAGGTTCACGTTTGACTTTTAAAATACACATAAAAAAATGAATGGTGTCTTGAGACTTAAAAAGAACACAATCTTACAGAAAGGATGTGGTTGCTACCCAGAAAGGGCATTGTAAAGTTATTTAAAAACCATTACTGATACAGAGGCAGTGCTCAACATTGGCGGCTTTGGAATTCCTGGGGTATAGCAGAAAGAACAAATTGTTTTTGGAATCTAGCAGATTTAGTCTCTCCATTCAGCCATGTGGAATCAAACAAGTTACTTAAACTGCTAGGATTTCAGTTGTTTTATCTGTGTAATGGGTTATAATAATATGTTTCTCAAAGGATTAAGGAGAGAATTAGAGATCATCTACATAAAGCACTCAGCATATTGCCTGGCATATAATAGATGCTCATTAAATAACACATTAGTATAATTCTTAGTCAATACACAAGAATCCTTGTATATATTAGATGTCCTGACAAAAACCAGTACCTACTTTCGGATCACTATATTTTTCTGGGGAAGCAAGAAGTACATATATGAAATAACTAAAAAGCAATAGGAAACAGCATATAACGAAATGTACAATTGGATAAAATTTGGAACCAGGAAATGGTAATATGGTGTAAAGAAAAAGTATAGGACTCTTAAGACCTGTGTCCTGCTATGCGATCTTCTGAATTTATGTGTAGCTGAAACGAACAATAAATTCACGGTCTCTATGGACTTTTCTTTGGCTCAGGAGAAAATAAATCATTACACTATTTTTCTTCTACTTCCAGAGACTGGTAGAGGAGGGATTTCTGCCTATGTTAAAGAAAAAAAAAAAAAAAATTTCAAAGCTTTAACTGATTTTTTTGTGTTGGCTCTTCCTAAATGGACATCTTATTGTGTTTTGAGATACAACAAAAATTGATGTTCATTTGTAGGTAGAGGGTGAAGAGATAGATTACTCTGAATAATTGTGTGAGGTTAGAAGAACCTAGAAGATAGAGAAGACAGTGAGCAATGACCTGAAGGACACAGCTGGGATAAAAACTGCCCTTGTAGGGGAAATGAATGTTGGATTTTAGAACAGTGTTATCTAACATCCAAATTAAAGCTGTTATTTGTGTATGTCTAACTCTATACTAGAAGCTGTAAGAGTTAAAAAAAAAAAAAGTCATGTCATTAGTTCCCAAGCCTCTTCGACTCTTTTTGGAGAGCTAAATCTTCAGTAAAAGTCTGCCATATGCGCCAGGCTTCTGGCACTTGTGGGTTTCTAGTGACATGACAGTAAGAAGAAATGACCTCTAGCAGAGCCCAAAGCAATGTCTAGTACACTGGCGACTACACTGACCAAGAGCGCATGAGGACGTGGGAATCAATAGAAATTTTAAGGGAGGACTTCTGAAAGCATATGGGGATTGAAGCTTGAGAACCATTTTATTTAGGTATTAAAGGGTAGACCCAGAATGCCAGAGGACGTAGAGTCATCTGGGTGACAAATGTGGCTTACTGATCACCTCTTTTTTAATCTGAAAAATTAGGGAGTTGGATTATATCTCTTAGATCTCTGTTGTTTTTTGTTCACGGTAGTTTGGGTGTTAAATATCCTTGGGATTTCTTTTCTTTCTCACAGCTATATTCCTCTGAATTTCTCTATAATAGCACTTAACGCACTGCACTGTTTCTTTGTTTCACGTGTCTACTTCAGCATGTTATACTATCCTTTACTCAGTTGATCAGGCCAAAAACCTTGAAACATCTCAACTCCTCTCCTTCTCACAAGCCACATACAATCCATCAGCAAATCCTGTCAACTCTCCCTTCAACATGTGTCCTCATTCTGGTCATTTCTCACCTTCTCTATGGTTACCACCTGGTCCTAGCCTCCACACTGGTCTTCCAGTTTTCACTCTTCTTTCACATCATAGCGAAATGATCTCATTTTTTGTTTGTTTTAAATATAAATCACATCTGCTTTTAACCTTCGCGTGGGTTCCCCTTTTGGCACATTAGGAAAAAAAGTCTACCCTCCTTAACATAAAAGGCACTACACAATCATCACCATCCCACCTCCTTTATCACCCACCTCCTGTTCCTTGATTACTAATCTTGTCATACCAACCTTCTTGGCATTCCTCACACACACTAGATAAGACCTT